ACTGATTAGAATAAATTTAAGAAGTAATTTGGGGGAAAAATTACATCTCTATCATACTGGGTCTTCCCATCCAAGAATATGACATGGCTCTGTTAATTCTAGCTTTTTCTGTCCTTTTATAAAGTTTTATAATTTCTTCATCTAGGTCTTGCATATTTCTCAATAAATTTATCCTCAAGTACTTTTTGAGTTTTTACTACAACTGTGAATAGGATCTTTTGCTATGTATAAGAAAGCAGTTGTTTTTTGCCTATTTTCTATTTGGCCATCTTACTAAGCTTTTTAGCTCCACATTAAGCATTTATTTATCAAATCAATATCTGTGTTTATTTTTTGTTAACTGAGGGCTAGGAAAGCAGGTCTCTTGCGTTCCAGAGATAGCTAGGGCTAAACATTCTTTCATAATTTCCAACTGATTCTCTTGAAATGTTGTAGGTATGTAATAATTTGGTCTTTCCTCTTCACTTCTTCTTATTTCTTTTCCTTGTCTACTGCCTTGTCCCACAGCAGCAGTCCTCCTGGCTGATTCCTGACTGTAATGGAAAGTCATTAGTGCTTCACTATTAACTCTGATGATCACTGACAGCTTTTGATAGATAATCCTCAACGAGTTAACTCAACAAGTTAAGAACATGTCTAGTCCTAAAATAATAGGGCTTTTTTTTTTTTCTTCCTTTAATCAGTCATGAATTTGCAATTTTATCAAAACCTATTTGGGCATTTTGATTTTTCTTCTCCCAACAAATTATACTTTCTAATATTAAATCAGTCTTGCACTATTGAAATAAATCCGACTTGATCTCTGTATATTACTGTTTTAGGACACTACTGGATTCTATGTGCTAACATTTTATTTAAGATTCTTTAACTTGTAGTATTAGTAAGATAAAGCTACATTTTTTTTCCTTTCGCATGGTATTCTTTGTTAGGGTTTAGACATGGGGTTATTTTAGCCTCCCATACACCCTTTCAGTTAAATGATTTCAAATGACAGTGGTCTTTCTCACCATCACCTTTCCTTTTTAAATGAAAACGAACCTTAACAATTACAGATCCAAAAAGCACACAAGTAATTCTAGCCAAGTAGATGTCTAAGCATGTAAAAGCAAGACTTATCAGGTAATCACACATCTCCATCCCCATTTAATAAACAAATGTGTATTACTCAACTAAAATTCATCACACTAAGGACTGTCCAAGAAAAATGACTGCCCTCAATTGATATTAGTGGTAAACAAAGTGAATGAAGCGTTACCACACCCCATCATATACTTTTTAAAGCTGACGTAAGCTATTTATTTGTTTATTTCTTACTGAAGTGTATTTGATTTACAATACTGTCTGGGTTTCAGGTGCACAGCAAAGTGATTCAGTTATACATATGCATATATCTATTTTTTCAGATTCCTTTCCCTTATAGGTTATTACAAAATATTGGGTATAGTTCCCTGTGCTATACAGTAGGACCTTGTTGGTTATCTACTTTATATATAGTAGTGTGTATATGTTAATCCCAAACTCCTATTATAATTTATCCCTTGCCCTGCTTTCCCCTTTGGTAACCTTAAGTTTGTTTTCTATGTCTGTGGGCCTATTTCAGTTTGGTATATAAATCCATTAGTATCTTTTTTTTTTTTTTTTTAGATTCCACATATAAGCAATATATGGTGTTGGTCTTTCTCTGTTGGCTTACTTCACTTAGTATGATAATCTCTAAGTCCATCCATGTTACGGCAAATGGCATTATTTTTTATGGCTGAGTAATATTCCATTGTATATATGTACCACATCTTCTTTATCCACTCCTCTGTTGATGGACATTTAGATGGCTTCCATGTCCTGGCTATGGTAAATAGTGCTGCAGTGAACACTGGGGTGTATATAGCTTTTCAAATTATGGTTTTCTCTGGATATATGCCCAGGAGTGGGATTGCTAGTCATATGGTAGTTCTAGTTTACTTTTTTAAGGAACCTCCATACTGTTGTTCATAATGGTTGTAACCAATTTACATTCCTACCAACAGTGCAAGAGGGTTCCCTTTTCTCCACACTCTCTCTAGCATTTATTGTTTGTAGACTTTTTGATGATGGCCATTCTGACTGGTGTGAGGTGATACCTCATTGTAGTTTTGATTTGCATTTCTCTAATAATTAGTGATGTAGGCATCTTTTCACGTGCTTTTTGGCCATCTGTACGTCTTCTTTGGAGAAATGTCTATTTAGGTCTTCTGCCCATTTTTGGATTGGGTTGTTTGGTGTTTTTGTTATTGAGCTGCATGAGCTGTTTGTATAGTTTGAAGATTAATCACTTGTCAGTTGCTTCATTTGCAAATATTTTCTCCCATTCTGAGGGCTGTCTTTATGGTTTCCTTTGCTGCGCTGAAGGTGTTGTTTAATTAGGTCCCATTTGTTTATTTTTGTTTTCATTACTGTAGGAGGTGGATCCAAAACGATTCTGTTGCCATTTATGTCAAAGAGTGTCCTGCCTATGTTTTCCTCGAAGAGTTTTACAGTATCCAGTCTTACATTTAGGTCTTTAATCCATTTTATTTTTGTGTATGGTGTCAGAGAATATTCTAGTTTCATTCTTTTACACATAGCTGTCCAGTTTTCCCAGCACCACTTATTGAAGAGACTGTCTTTTTTCCATTGTATATTCTTGCCTCCTCTGTCATAGATTAGTTGACCATAGGTGCATGGGTTTATCTCTGGACTTTCTATCCTGTTCCATTGATCTATATTTGTTTTGAGGCCAGTACCATACTGTTTTGATTACTGTAGCTTTGTAGTACAGTCTGAAGTCAGGGAGCATGATTCCTCCAGTTCCGTTTTGCTTTCTCAGGACTGCTTTGGCTATTTGGGGTCATTTGTGATTCCATTAAAGTTGTAAAATTTTTTGTTCTAGTTCTGTGAAAAATGCCATTGGTAATTTAATAGAGATTGCATTGAATTTGTAGATTGCTTTGGGTAGTACAGTCATTTTGATAATACTGATTCTTCTAATCCCAGAATGTGGTATATCTTTCCATCTGTGTCACGTTCAGTTTCTTTCATCATCGTCTTATAGTTTTTCGAGTACAGGTCTTTTGCCTCCTCAGGCAGGTTTACTCTTAGGTACTTGGTTCTTTTTGATGTGATGGTAAATGGGATTGTTTCCTTAATTTCTCTTTCTGATCTTTGGTTGTTAGTGTATAGGAATGCAAGCGATTTCTGTGTGTTAATTTTGTATCCTGCAACTTTACCAAATTCACTGATGAGCTTTAGTAGTTTTCTAGTAACATCTTTAGCATTCTCTATATATAGTATGTTATCTGCAAACAGTGACAGTTTTACTTCTTCTTTTCCAATTTGGATTCCTTTTATTTCTTTTTCTTCTCTGACTGCCGTGGCTAAGACTTCCAAAACTATGTTGAATAAAAGTGGGGAGAGTGGACATCCTTGTCTTGTTCCTGATCTTAGAGGAAATGCTTTCAGCTTTTCACCATTGAGTGTGATGTTAGCTGTGGGTTTGTCATAGATGGCTTTTATTATGTTGAGGTAGGTTCCCTCTAGGCCCACTTTCAAGAGTTCTTTTTCTCATAAATGGGTGTTGGAATTTTGTCAAAAGCTATTTCTGCATCTATTGAGATGATCATATGGTTTTTCTCCTTCAATTTGTTAATGTGGTATATATCACACTGATTGATTTGAGGATATTGAAAAAATCCTTGCATCCCTGGGGTAAATCCCACTTGATCATGGTGTATGACCCTTTTAATGTATTGTTGGACTTGGCTTGCTAGTATTTTGTTGAGGATTTTTGCAATTATGTTCATCAGTGATATTAGCCTGTAAGTTTCTTTTTTGTGGTACCTTTGTCTGGTTTTGGTTATCAGGGTGATGGTGGCCTCATAGAATGAGTTTGGGAGTGTTCCTTCCTCTGCAGTATTTCGGAATAGTTTCAGAAGGATAGGTGTTAACTCTTCTCTAAATGTTTGATAGACTTTGCCTGTGAAGCCATCTGGTCCTGGACTTTCGTTTGTTTGAAGTTTTAAAATCAGAGTTTCAATTTTGGTGCTTATGATAGGTCTGTTCATATTTTCTGTTTCTTCCTGGTTCAACCTTGGAAGTTTGTACCTTTCTAAGAATTTGTCCATTTCTGCTAGGTTGTCCATCTTATTGGCACATAGTTGCTTGTCTCTTATGATCCTTTGTATTTCTATGGTGTCCACTGTAACTTTTTTTCATTTCATTTTTTTGAGCCCTCTCCCTTTTTTTCTTGATGAGTCTGGCTGAAGGTTTATCAATTTTGTTTATCTTCTCAAAGAAGCAGCTTTTAGTTTCCTTGATCGTTTCTATTATTTTCTTCATCTCTATTTCATTTATTTCTGCTCTGATCTTTATGATTTCTTTCCTTCTGCTAACTTTGGGTTTTGTTTGTTCTTCTTTCTCTAGTTGCTTTAGGTGTAAGGTTAGGTTGTTTACTTGAGATTTTTCTTGTTTCCTAAGGTAAGATTGTCTTGCTATATAAACTTCCCTTTTAGAACTGCTTTTGCTGTGTCCCTTAAGTTATGTATCATCAAGGCAGGTCTTCTGCCTTGACTAAAGTAGTTAATACTCATCAAGGAAAAAAATCTGTTCAGAAATCTCTGAAAGTAAATGTGAATTTTAACCTTGCAATTAAAAGCAAGGCCTCAGGCTTAGCCAACAGTTATGTCATCAAGAGAGCTCTCAGATTATCAGTCATACAAAAGAGTGAATGACACCATAATTTATAAAACTTTTCTGAGGTTCTTTCTTCCTCTGGTTACTAGTGGGATATCCATAGAATAAATTCTATTTCATTAGCTCAGAAAAAGTTTTGTTACAAACTTTCTTTAAAAAGAGGAGAAAGGTGAGAAATACGTTTCACCTGGCAGGTCAGTATCTCTGGCAGGCATTCTTGCTAAACAGAAGAGACATTCGTAGGTTTGACTTTTGTTAAGTTATAACACAAATTCATTACAACAAAGTATCTTTACCTCGTAATGAACAAACTGGTCCATTTTCTTGATTCTTAGAGCGCTTATTTCTGAACTGACTTGGAATATCTAATGAAAGGTCTTAAAAGGAAACAGGAAAACAGAACTGTTAAAGGCACATAACCACACTCAAAAAATAATTTCAAAAATTGATGTATTTTTAAGGAGTTATCTCTTTACTGTCTTAGTTTTCAAAGGAGACATTACAGTTATTATTTTAATACAATATCGTATCTCCATATGCCAAATATGTCTTACCTAGGAATGGATCAAACTTTCTAGATTCTGTCCCACATATGAGGCAGTTAACCTCATTTTGGAGAATGCCTCCGAATATAGCCGTGACAACTGTAGATGCTCCATTTCTAAAGAAAACCACACAGGAAAACATCTCAGTAAAAAACTAAAGTACATATGTGTAAAAGGTCCTATAGGTGGCTGTGTTTGGGGGGGGGGGTATATCATTTATTAATTTAAATTATAAAATAACACAAAAATTTCGAAGCTATATCTAGACGTTTACCAAATAAAAGGTTTAAGCCACTGTCCTTCTCCCAGCTCCTCTCCCAATCCCACTACTTTGTACAAAAGTTACTAACAAACAAACACTGAACATTACTAACAGTTCACGTACATGCCTGTACTCAGGGCAACAGGACCCCTTTCCCTCAATTATACCCCTCAGAAAAGAGGGAACTGCCTTAGATTGGACCCTTTGCAAGACTTCTCATATTATGGGGAGCACTCTCAATGACTTTACTTTGAACAACAACCTTGATCAAAGATAGTTTCAGATTTTTTTTAGAGGGTCATATTTGGGGAAAATGAGGTAAACAAATTTAATACATACTTAGTCATCACTGGTGGAGATATGACTTCACATTTGAAGTGCTGGATGTTCCTATCAACAAGCCTTTAAAAAAGCTCACTTAAAACAATATAAGAATTCCCTTGTGGAGATCAAAAAATATGTACAGCACTTTAACAACAATAAAGTTACTTAACCTCTCTGTGCCTCAGCTTCATCAAATGTGAAACAGGCATAACATCTATCTACCTCTGAGGCCTGGTGACGATGAAATGGGAATATACCTACAGTGCTTTTAGACAAGTGCTTACCAAAAAGAAAGCCCTTAGAGTGTTGTAAGCATCTTTTATAACAATAATCAGGATCATACCTGCCCTTTGCTTTTCTTTCCCAAGTATGTATCTTGGACACGTAACTCACTCTTTGACAGGTGCACAGCCTGCCACGGTAAGGACAGAGAATGCACAAGAACAGCTAAGAAAGTGCACCAGTGACAGCATGATTAGCAAGCACTTACATGCCAGGCTCCATTCTAAGAACTCTGAGGTAGATAAGATCATCTCCATTTTGCAGACCAGGAAGCTGAGGTTCATAGGTTAAATAACTTGGCCCAAGGTCACACGGCTGGCCTGACCTGAGCACCTGCTGTGGACACTATGCTCCTTCTCTTAATTTAACTAATATAACATTAATGGGTAAAATCAACTATACTTCAATAAAAATATATTATTATTTTAAAAACCAAAATGGCGGGCTTCCCTGGTGGCGCAGTGGTTGGGAGTCCGCCTGCCGATGCAGGGGACGCGGGCTCGTGCCCCGGTCCGGGAAGATCCCACAAGCCGCGGAGCGGCTGGGCCCGTGAGCCATGGCCGCTGAGCCTGCGCTCCACAACGGGAGAGGCCACAACAGTGAGAGGCCCACGTACCGCAAAAAAAAAAACCGAAATGGCTTTGGGTTTCACTGCAACAACAGGAACCCACATAAAATTGTCAACAGAATACAGATGAATCAGAATAAAAACAAAAATATTAATGGATACTGAGGTTCATTTGTGTGCTTTCATTAATAGTACTACAGTGAACACAGATAATAACTTTTGTGCACTTATGCAGTTACTTGAGCCAGTATATTGCTCTTTTTCGCTAACAGCAATTTGAGGTGGTTTCTGTCACTTGCAGTCAATAGAACTCCTAAAACACTGAACCGTAAACTTCGAGTTGCTCCAAATTAGACCTACTGCAATGATGAGACAGACAAAACTTACCTGAGCAGTTCTATTATTTTAAAAGTTTGCTCCCTTTTCTATGAAAGGGCTTCCTTCCTTACTGGCAAAAGAAACATACTGTAGCTTTTTTGTTTTTTTACGTTGTTCATAGGATACACATGGCTTTAGTAAATTACAAAGGGAAGATACAATGGGAACTGTAGGAATATAATGGCCATATCAGGTTTTAGATTTAATATCTGTATCACAACAAAGGATATACCCCCCCCACCAAAAAAAATCTACTGAAAAATAAAGGGACTATGACTGACCCTTTCATACTGATGTTCACACACACTGCGGCCTTTAATTAAAATGGAAACTGCAAACTGCTTTGTTAAAACTCAATGTACTTCTTCCTTTATCATTTCTTCCTCTGAGAAAAAGATACTAATGAATTCTTGGCTATCTGATGTGTATGGCATTACGCTTAGTCATTATACAATGACTTAAAACAAGATTCACGAATTATTTCAAAATCACTGTTCCATTTATCATAACTACACAACGAGAGAGTTTAAATATTGGCTACTTGGACAGGCTATTATGCTGCAAAGTTCCTTTATACTGGCACTCATGATTTTCTACGTGATAAAAAGAACACGTCCGCCATTTATTTCTATCATCCTCACCCCCACCTTCAGTAGGGTTCAGTGTGTTTATACGAATAAATACAAGTACAGGAGACCTTTTTTTTTTTGTAGTTTTAGCAAATAAGATCCTTACATCCTGAAATGCATCCCCCAGTGAATTTAAGGGAATATAAAGGAGCCTGAGTTTTGAATACTTGATTTAATTTTTTTATGTTCCTCACTAATGGAACTTAAAATTACTATTATTTAAAATATCATGAAAGGGTATGGATTAATACTGAAAACTCATTAGTTACTAAAAGAACATCTTATATCACACAATGTGATTCCCTAAGGGTGCCCTGGGCATCAAATAAAATTATAAAGACATATATCCTCTCACTTCACACAGACTATCCTTCACAGAGCCCAGCTCAATATCCTTTGTGTATGAATATATCATCCTAAAATACAAAACAGAATTTTTCTTTTAATACTATGTTTGATTTGGTGCTAGCAGCAAGAACATTTCTACCAGATCACAGGTCCTTCCCTTTCTGTACTGGATTCTAATTTGAACCATAGCTCCTAGGACCTAGGTTCAAACATTTTAAAAAGTATGGTAATTCATATTGACTGCCCATCTCTGATACAGTCAGATTGGCTATGAGACTGCTCTGTCATTAAAAAGACCTTATCTTACACAAAATCCGATTTACGGACTGTCAGGCAGTATAGTACAGCAAACGCTATATATAACTTACTCTTTTCTTCTTTCTTTGGGAAGTTCGTCTTATAAATCCCTTTCCTGCATAGGTCAATATGAAACTTTTCCCAAAATTTGAACAAAAGGAGACAACTAACCAAGGTCCAAGCTGAAATAAAAGTCAATTTTCTCTCCCTCAGCAAAATGAACATTCTGATCTCAATGTATATTTTGGGGTATCAGTACCTGGGAAAGCAACCCGAAAGGTTTGTTTTGTTCATACTGAGGGGCAAAAAAAAAAAAAATTCTGAAAAGTTACAAATGCCTCAATTTGATTAAAGAACAGACATATTTTTGGAAAAATTTAAGTCCAAATGAGGCTTTAGAAAAATTCACATTCAAAATATTTTAAATTAGTGAACAAATGTAATTATTTTAGTATATGAAAGTTGTCTCCCATACATCATTCAATACATTTGGAGGAAAATTTTTAAGTGTTAAATTGTACAAATATTTTCTATTTTTTCAAGTTTAAAAATAATCTATAGCAAATAACGATTAGAACTACACCTGGATGCAAGTACAAGATGCCTTCTATCTGGAAGCAGGAGGCATATGCTAGTCCCCTTGGTCACAAAGTTCAAATGCACAAAAGTTTCAGCAAAGGTCCAGAAAACTTCCCACCTTCCATTATAAATCTAATGAACAAGAACACCAGTAGAAATCGGAGGTCTTCCCAGAAAACAAAACGGAACTAAATCTTACATGCAACATTTGTTACTTGCAGACAGAGGAGAATTCTCCTGCAGAATTGATGAGCGGGAAATACCGTTGAAACCGCCCTGGAGTTCCAAGTGCAGGTGGTCTAACAGGTAGCGCATGAACTCATGAGCGTCCTGCTGCTGATAGCCCCTTGAAGCAAACAGAAACAGTCACTGTGGGGCTCCGCCTGCCCAGCCAAACAGGCAGGAGGGCAAAGGGCTGAGAAGGGCCACAGCCCTGCGCTCAGAGCACAGGGAGGCGCCCTGATTCTTCCTCCTCACTTCCTCCTTGTTTTACTGGTAAAAGCACCTTCAAGACAGAATTCCACTACTGAAAAACAAGTTTGAAAACACAGACTAGTACAGCTAACTGGACTTCTAGTGCTCTCAACTGACCTCACTTAAGAGGAAAACTGAGGGGCAAAAAAGGGGTTGTGTGACCTGCCTGAAGTCCTGCAACAGGAGAGTATCATGTCTCCTGGATGGACTGTGAATCTTCCCATTTCCCACATGGCCTCTCTAGAAGATGCTCAAATGTTAAAATTTCACATCTTAACCTGCACCAGAAAACTAGGTCTAAACCACCATTATAAGAAATAAGGAATTTAAAACTAAATCTTTAGACTGAAAGATACTAATTTTTAAACACTGGCTGAAAGGAAGAAAAACTTAAAGATGTATAGCATTCTATACTTGCATCCTAATCTCTGACTCAAGACATTTTTTAAATAAATAAAAACTTTAAAACGCATTGACTCATACTTATGCTCTAGCCTAAAACTTTAATATATACAGCAACATATTCTGAGGTTACTTCTTACACTATATTCAGTCAGGAAATTCTATGGAATTCTTCTGCTAATACAGATCAATGACAAGTGAACAGTAATGAAATCTGACAGAAAGGTAAGCTGGTACAGTTGGAAGGTAATAGAGGTTTATGTAGCTAAATCCAGCAATGATATCTAAAGTACATTCGTAAAATTATGGATAGGAAAGACTACTGCCTACATTTTTACAGGCATGGAAGGTTCTCTTTAATCTTTGCTCTAAGTGGCAAGTTTTCTGGCCTGGTCTTGAGTCAAAACTTCCACCACTCTTCCAGGCAGTGGTTCCATAAACAAAATTTCTTTTAACCAGAGTCTCCCCGCTTTTCCTAAAATTTCTCCTGGAAATAAATTATGGAAATGATCTGCCTAAAGTCACTTTAGCATTTCACTGTAACTTTTTCTACACTATTTAGCAACTAAATATTAATATATATGTTCAGGTATTTCTTCTAAGACTCTTAAGAATAAAAATGTTAAAATTCAGAAGTATTCAAAGTTGGTAGTTCCTTTATATATCTAAGGAGGTGCTTTAAACTTTTTCAACATAACATACATTTTTTTCGTGACTCAAAGGTAAGATCAGTATTTCAGGTCATATTTAAAATTCTATCACACATAAAAAATGTTTTATTCTCTCACCAAAATAACCGAATATCTAATCATTATTTTCTAAAATGGATCATGAAAACCAGTACCTTGTAGTTATGTCAATTTGCGTTTTCATCAAACACATCCGTCCCTTTTTAAAACAATCTGCCTAATGTACATTAATGAATATTTCCAACCATACCAAGATTCTCTTGATTCTCTTTCCTTATATCAAAATACATTATTTTCTAATGTTTCCTTTACCATTAGAAACACATTTGTTGACCTACGTGAGATCATGGAACACTCATTGTTTTATAAAGATAAGTTATGGGGATCTGTTTCAATTTGTGATCTTTACCAGATAACAAAAAGTCTATGTTTCTTCTAGGACTGGGACATTTTTTTTGATTCTGACTAAAGAGACATTTACACGTCCATTTCTAAACATTTAAATAAAACCTTTCATTGATTTATCTGAAAATCTTAATAATTATTATTTAGTATATTAAATTCAACAGACTTCAGTTATCTTTTCAATTATTTCTCAATTATACAGTCTGGGCTTCAGAGTTTCCTCTGCAGTCAACTTAGGTTTCTTCTGTTTGGTAATCATGTTAAAGGAAACACCCCTCACCTTTGGGTGCAGTGTTCATGTTCTGTATACAAATTATTTCAGTGATGTCACCCCAACAGGTGTTTGTGAATTAGTGAGGAAATGAATTTATGAAGAACCAACTGGTATCTCTGTGACAGATCAGAATTGAGAAAGAAAAGAAGACAGAGGGAAAGCATGATGGCTCCAATTTTAACACACTGTTCCTTATCTTCACTTGTTTGTGACCTTCGATAAGCATTACCTCTTTCTCCTAGTATCTGCAGAAACTCTGTGTCATAAAGATGCTGTGAGAAATCATCCTTGGAGAGCACACTGCAAATACAAAAAGCCTAGAAGATCATGAGGCATCCCTTTTTGAATGAGGGGGCAGAGGAGGACAGACACTGCTGAGGCACAACGTATAGGAACACAGAGCAACTGTCTCTTCACAACAGGTTTTGATACAAGGAGGCAAGCCATATTTATTCGGATCTGAAGAACAAAGAAATGTTCCAATAAAGAATGATCAAGGAAAATGTTACTCTGCACCTGCTTAAGTGAAAGGCAGACACTGCAAATAATAAAACAGACACCACATAACACAGGCACACACAAGCACTTGTGTGATGCTCCAACATGCGCAACTGTGACACATGCCTGTGCATTACTGACCATTCTCTGTGTTTTGGCAGGACCAGTACCTTATGTGTAAAATAGCAAAGACCAATACGGAATAGGATATGCCTCTACAGAATCAAATTTTATCATACAAGCGCAAAATTCTTCTTCTGAAGTACCTAGGACACATTAGAATTTTAGAGTCTGTTCATATTTAAAATAAGTTATTGTTTTGTCCAAATTATCTGCAAAACCAAAATCAGTTAAATTTAGCTATTCCTATCCAGTGTGAGGCACCAATCAAGGCCGAGTTTCTTCAAGACAAAAATACCAGAAAATGAAAATGACAAAAATGCTGTTTACAAACACACACAAAAAAAGACGATAGCTGAATTCTTAGAACTAATACAGCATATCTGGTTTTATTGCACTTTGTTGTGTTTTGCAGATACTGCTGTTTTGTACAAATTGAAAGTCTGTGGCAACCCTGCATCAAAAGCAAGTCTGTTGGTGCCCTTTTCCAACATTTGTTCACTTTGTGTCTCTGTATCACATTTTCGCAATACTTTAAACATTTCCATTATTGTTATTATTTGTTAATGTGATCTGTGATCAGTGAGTGATCTTTGATGTTACTACTGTAATAGTTTTAGGGTGCCACAAACCATATAAGGCAGCAGACTTAATAAATGTGTGTGTTCTGACTGCTCCACCGACAGGCTGTTCCTGCCTCTCTCCCTCTCTCGGGCCTCTCTATTCCCTGAGACAACAATATTGAAATTAGTCCAATTAATAACCCTCAATGGCCTCTCAGTGTTTAAGTGAAAGGAATGTCACGCATGTCTCTCACTTTAAATTAAAAGCTAAAAGGATTAAGCTGGGACTTCCCTGGTGGTCCAGTGGTTAAGAACCTGCCTTCCAATGCAGGGGACACGGGTTTGGTCCCTGGTCGGGCAACTAAGATCCCACACGCCACGGGGCAACTAAGCCTGCACGCTCTAGAGCCCGTGTGCCACAACTAGAGAGCCCACGTGCTGCAACTACTGAGCCCACCCACCACAACAAGAGAGAAGCCTGCAGGCCACAATGAAGCTCCCATGTGCCGCAACTAAGACCCGATGCAGCCTAAATAAATAAATATTAAACAAACAAACAAACCTGAAAGGAATAAGTTTAGTGAGGAAGGCATGTCAAATGCCGAGACAGGCCCAAAGTTAGGCCTCTTGCACCAAACAGCCAAGTTGGGAAAGCGAAGGAAAGTAAAAGTGCTGCCCCAGTGAAGACACGACTGATAAAAAAATGAAACCCTACTGCTGACATGAAGAAAGTTTTATCAGTCTGGATAGAAGATCAAACCAGCCACAACATTCCCTTCAGCCCAAGCTTAATTTAGAGCAAGGCACTAACTCTCCTCAATTCCATGAAGGCTGAGAGAAGTGAGGAAGCTGCCGAAGTCTGAAGCTAGCAGAGGTTGGTTAGTGAGGCTTAAGGAAAGAAGCCGTCTCCATACGAGAAAAGTGCAAGGCAAAGCAGCAAGTGCTGATGTAGAACCGGCAGCAAGATATCCAGATCTTGCTGAGATCAATAATGAAGGAGGCTACACCAAATAACAGATTTTCAATGTAGATAAAACAGCCTTATACTGGAAGAGGAGGCCATCTAGGACTTTCCTAGCTAGAGAGGAGAAGTCAACGCCTGGCTTCAAAGCTTCAAAGGACAAGCTGCCTCTCTTGTTAGGGGCTCGCTAACACAGCTGGTGACTTTAAATTGAAGCATGCTCATTTATCATTCTGAAAATCCCAGGACCCTTAAGAATAATGCTAAATCTACTCTGCCTGTGCTCTATAAATGGAACAACAAAGCCTGGATGGCAGCATATCTGTTTACAACATGGTTTACTGAATATTTGAAGCCCACTGTTGAGAGTTACTGCCCAGAACAGATTTATTACTGCTCATGGACAACACCCCTGGTCACCCAAGAGCTCTGATGGAGACATACAATGAGATGAATGTTGTTTTCATGCCTGCTAACACCACATCCATTCTGCAGCCCATGGATCAGGGAGTCATTTTGACTTTCAAGTCTTATTCTTTAAGAAATACATTTTGTAAGGCTGTAGCTGCCATAGATAGTGATTCCTCTGATGGATCTGAGCAAAGCAAACTGAAACCCTTCAGAAAGGATTCCCCATTCTAGATGCCATTTAAGAACGTCATTTGTGATTCACGGGAAGAGGTCAAAATATCAACATTAACAGGAGTTTGGATGAAGCAGATTCCAAACCTCATGGATGACTCTGAAAAAAGTTCAGCACTATTTGGAACAGCTTTATTTCGATATTTGCTAATTTATTGCAGCGGTCTGGAACCAAACCCAAACATTACTGAGGTATGCCTATATTGTTTAAATATAAAATATAAACAGCTTGGTGTTTTTTTAAAGTCCTCTATTTACAGATAGAGGATTATTATTAAATTAAATAGATCTTTTCAAGTGATATTTTATTATCTACAAAGATCTTTTATATTTTCTACAAAGCCAAGTAGAATAGCTAGCAAATTCAAGAAAGATTTCTCAGTAATTTCTTCATCCATCATTTTTAAACATTTGAGAACATTGTTTTGGGAAGTCAGTGAAGATACATTAAATCAAGTTTTACATGAAAAGTAGAAAGAGCATGTAAATGACACGATGAATCAAGGGAATAAATACTATGACCTGATATGAATTATCAAGAGACCTTCCTGGAGACTGTTAGCATTAACACTTTAGGATTCTAAAGAAAGAGATGTGACCACAGGCAAAGCAAATACCGCGGACAGGAAGCAGATGACACACAAATATGTGGAGGCAACAAGACAAAATCATGTTAAGGAGAGCAAGGAGTAACAAAGGCTAGCAGAAAAGACTACCAAAATTACAAAAGCTAACTGTCTTTTGACCCAGCAATTCCTCTTTTAAATACCTGCATTATACGTGTGAGATTACCCACTTCAGCACTATTTGGAACAGCAAAGAAGAAGAAACATAACCTATGTGATCATTGGTAGGGGACTATTAAATAAATCATGATGCAACCATAAAGTGGAATATTATGCAGCCATAAAATGACTGAGAAAGCTATTTATATACTAACATGAATCATCTCAAAGTAGAAAAGCAAGAGATGTTACCATTTATGTTAAAAATTATGCACATGCTTTTATGTATATACACACAGAATATCACTGAAAGGATACACAAAAATCTGTTAACTGTGGTTGCTCCCGGAAAGCAAAAGGAAAGGCTGGGGAATCGAGTAAAAGAAAAAACTTTCATTGTATAACCTTTCTTTACCTTTTGAAATTTTGAACCATGTGTATTTTTGTCTATTTAAAAAAATACACTTTAAGGTATTTTTATGAAAAAAGAAAGGACAGGGCTTCCCTGGTGGCGCAGTGGTTGAGAGTCCGCCTGCCGATGCAGGGGGCACGGGTTCGTGCCCCGGTCTGGGAAGATCCCACATGCCGCGGAGCGGCTGGGCCTGTGAGCCATGGCCGCTGAGCCTGCGCGTCCGGAGCCTGTGCTCCTCAACGGCAGAGGCCACGACAGTGAGAGGCCCGCGTAACGCAAAAAAGAAAAAAGAAAGGACAGGAAAAGCTGGGCATACTAGGAAGCCATAAGAAGTGTGGTAAGTAGATATATGTATGCTGGGAAGTTCAAACTCAGGAACAGTTTCCCTGCTGAGTGACTGGCTTTTGGTTTGGGTGGGAAAAGAGAAAGAATAGCTCTGATGATTGCTATGCCCAAAGCTGCTGATTACATTTAGGGTACTTTTTTTCCTGCATTTATTTAATAAATGAAAGTTGTTCCTACTTCCACATGCATGATTGTATTTCAGGCTCCTCACTTTTTTTCCCCTTTGGCCATGCCGCGCAGCTTACGGGATCTCAGCTCCCCGACCAGGGATTGAACCCAGGCCCCAGCAGTGAAAGCCCGGGATCCTAATCACTAGGCCACCAGGGAACTCCCCAGGCTCCTCTTATTTTATTCCAAGGTATCACAATCCCTAGATACTGTAATATATGTTAATCAAGGAAAATGGGCTTTCTAAACTTTAAAAAATTTTACTTGGGGATTATAAATACAAACATAATTCAAGACCCATTGCATTTCCACTTCGGCATTGTTATAAGAACTTTTACCCTGTACACATAATAGGAGTAACAATTACGAGAAGAAAACCCTACCTCACACCTGGGCACTATGCAGTGACCCTGCACTAAAACTGTATTCATGATATAATCTCAAGATCTAGAGCTATAACCAAGAGGAAATTATTCTCTGATTACATGAAAGTGAGGAACAATGTGAATCACTACAGAACGAAGAGAAAGCCCTGCTAAGAACACACAGACATCCTATTCTGATCAGTCACTGAGGAAATCTAAGAGTTCATATGTAAGAGGAATCACTCCGGAAACGCCATCCCAATTTCTCAACCTGGTTACCTATTCCAAAAGTTCTTTCCCTTCATTGGTAGGAATAAGAGAATGAGTAAAATTAAGCCGCTAAAAGCTAAATCATGCTCACAGCCGGGCTAAAGAAACCAGAAAGAACAGAGATAGGGGCAGATTTAGATGAAAAGTAGAATTCTGTTAGATGAAGAGGGAACTGAGTCACCATGGGAACCTAGTAGAAGAGTATAAAGGTGGTTGGTGGGCCTCACTGGGGCCCGCGGACAAATTACGGTTAACACATCTATCGCTGACCAACACCACGAAGACCTGGGTTCTAATTCTGGTCCCAACACCTACTAGATGTATAAAACTGAACAAACTACTCTCCTCTGTCTCAGTTCCGTCTTCTTTCAGGTGGGGCTAACACTTCTTACCCTGATGGGAATTTTGTTGTGTTTCTTAATGAAGATCAGATATAAAATACCTAAAGTGCTCAACACATAATAGACATTCAACAAATGGAAGCAATTTTTATATAATAACCAAACACAAAGATTAAATCCCCATCAAGAGTCTAAGTAGGTGATTGTTAGAAATTTTATATGAAGTCCAGACGTGATTAGCAGTTAACTTAATCATTTCTACCTTTCCTATTCAGAGTCAGGAAATGCTAAAATTCTTACAAAATGATTCTCTCCTTCTCAGGAGAGATTTAAATAACATGAAATATAAAAGAAATTTCCTTCAAAACAAAGACCAGGGTTAACAATACTCAATTATGTCTGATCCTCAAGGCTAGACTCTTTGGCAAGGCAACAAATTATAGTCCTTTGAAGCTGTTAGCCTTTAGACATTTCTCCATACTACCAATATATCTAAACCACTCTGAGACAGTAAAGCAAGATGTATTGCTGAGTTTTACTAGAGCGTGCTGGTTTTAAAAAAGAGAGAGAGGGGGCTTCCCTGGTGGCGCAGTGCTTGAGAGTCCGCCTGCCGATGCAGGAGACGCGGGTTCGTGCCCCGTTTCGGGAAGATCCCACATGCCGCGGAGCGGCTGGGCCCGTGAGCCATGGCCATTGAGCCTGCGCGTCCGGAGCCTGTGCTCCGCAAATGGGAGAGGCCACAACAGTGAGAGGCCCGCATAACGCAAGAAAAAAAAAGAGAGAGAGAGAGGGCTGTACGTAAGGTGCCAAAATCATGACTAGTAGGAACCATGACGTGCTTCAGAAAGATAAAATCAGCAGAAGGTGGCGAAGGCTGCTGCCAAGCACCCGTAGTGCTTCAGATCTGCTGTTACCTACCGGGGGGACCAGCTTAGGAGAAGAGGGGGATTTCTCTGACAGCAGGGCTGTTTCCCCACTCAAGCGAGACCAGATAAAGAACAAGGGAAACGCTGTGACTCTAATAACCACATTAGGAGATGATGTGTTAATTGTGTTACCTTCTGGAAAGCGAATGAACCCCAATGGACTTAAGTAAAGTCTTGTTAAGGTCTTCAGAACCCAGACCAGAACAGTGAATACGACACCATGGTTTTCTCTGATTACATTTAGGAGATGATGTGTTAATTGTGTTACCTTCTGGAAAGCGAATGAACCCCAATGGACTTAAGTAAAGTCTTGTTAAGGTCTTCAGAACCCAGACCAGAACAGTGAATACGACACCATGGTTTTCTACTGATTACATTTGGATTTTTTTTTTTTTTTTTTAGCTGGAATAACAGGACAGTGTATGATGATAATTACTCTGTATAAGATTTTGAAAAAAATCAAGGAAATTTTGTCCAGTATGTTTTCCTAGAGCACGTAAGTTATTTTTAAGGGCTTTGTTTTTATAACAACCAAATGCCCTGCCTTTTGTTAAAGATTTTTCTAAGGTCTATTATTTAAACACATTTGTCTAGTAGGATATATCCAACTTCTGCTCCTCTCCTTAAAAAACAAAACACTGGTTTCATTATTGAGAATACCACCACTCTGTTGGAAATTGTTTCAGGAACAGTGTAAAGACTAATATTAATGTTTTAAATATCCTTCATTAAATAATACTTACCTAAAATTCGGCATAATCTTCCAAACAACATAAAATAAGGACTCTGGGCTAAATGCAGTCTGGCTACCTTGCCATAATGCACAGAGTGTCTTTCTAAACTCTTCCACCAAAGACCTAGAAAAGAGCAGGGGATGATGAGACCCTCAGCATTAGTGAGAGGCTGCTATTTCAATACACAATGCCAAACTGTCTAAAATCCACAAATAAAAAATGAAAACATAAAAAGAGTTTGGTCTCTTCTGAACTAAACCTGACAGCTAAGTACAGCATCTCAAAACCCATACAAATAGCAGTAATTACAGACAAAACTAGTTTTTTAACTATATGGCGAACTCTGAGTATGCCAAAGTACTGCCATACTTGTAAAATAAAGCAATGGATAAGTTACAAATCAAATTACCTAAGAATGTCATGTTTCAAAAAAAAACCCGTAGGACAAGTAATAGAATCTCTTTCTCCATCTCTTGCCTTTCTCCTCCTGCCCCTCTCTAGGAGCGCACTCCCCAGACCTCGGTGCATGACTGCTCATCTCTGCCGCAGAGTTCATCTGGCCACAAAGCTTCAACACTCGCCTCTATACCAATGACTCTCAAATCCAAATCTAAACTCCAGATTTTTCTCATGACCACTTTTATTCAGCTGTCTCCAGGTTCCAACAGGAATTTTCTACCGGCTGCCCTCTTGTCTCTTCTGACTCAGTGTGTCCTAAACCTGCTCTCCGTACTCTCCCTACGGCCCCTCAGTCTCCAATCACCCCTTCTCTCACAGGAATACAACTTCCATTTTTTTCTTGGCACATGAGCTCCTGGAATAAAAAAAAATTTGAGTGTGCCCATCTTCTGACAAATTCCCCTAAAGACAAAGAGTGGTCCTTCTTATTCACCCCTTCCTTCTGCCTTCCAGCTAGAATGAGGACGAAACGGTGGTGCGCCAGCACCATTGTGGATGATGTGGATAAGAGTCTCACCCAGGGCTGGTGGGACAGAAAGCCAGAGGAGCCCAATGATTGTGTGAAACAAACCTAGATGGATAACCTCCAACTTTTACGTGAGAAGATAAACCACGGATGTTTAAGTCACCGTTAGTTTTGGTCTTCTATGCATGTAGGTAAGCTTATACACCTCCTCAACTTCAATGACTGTATGTGTCAATACAGCTACCATACTCGTGGATACCTGGTTGATTATCACAGAGAATCTCACTATCTTCTTTCTCAGCCCCTGTTATCCAGTGGGTTCCTGAGATACAAATCATATTTTTTACTTCCTAGTACCTGAACCCTCATCCTATGTTTGAGGAACCCCACCTTAAGAGTCAAGGCCTGCCTCCTACTGTGGAAGCTGAAAAGGCCAGGTACTTGCTCTCTCAGCCCCCGCCCGCTCCCCCTTGAAGCCAGGACTCAGGTACATGGCCTGGGTATGCCTATTTGAAGCTGGAACAGTGCCAGATTGTTTCTGGCGGCAAAGAGCACAGTCAGGAGTGCAGGGGCCGAGCAGTAACAGCAGCATCCACCCAGCACCCAACTCCAGCAGTGCTGGCAATGGGAACTTCGGTGCAGCATGGACAGCGGTCCTAATGGGACACCCTTATGGATGCCTAGACTCCAGACCTGATTTTCCCCCATCCAGTAATGGTAAGCTCACCAACAGACTTTCAATAAATTCCTTTTCTGCCTAAAATGGCCAGCGGCAATTTCTACAATTCGTAACTAAACCCTAAATGACACGAGTGCATCGAGTACTACTGATTCTTCCCTTAACTTTTGTGCACATGTATTTTTTCCCCTTCATTTCACGGCTATTCCCTCTAACCAATTACTATAAAGTGAAAAGCCTCCTTGAATGCAGGCACGTTCCAGCTCATCCTATATGCTGCTACCAAAGTAAGCTCTTAAAACACCACTTCTAGTGATATCATTCCATCCCTGCTCCAATGCCTGGCTTCACTGCGTACTCCACACTACACACTATTCTAACACGGCCTATCCTATTCTCCCTCAGGCATCTAGGCAGAACACTGTCAGATTATAAGACGGCTTTTCAGACTGTGTGGGGATGGGGTGTGTGGGAGCAGGGATGGGCAGGCAGGGAAGACATTACATTAAAATACATACAGGTGATAAGTCGTAGCCCGATTTCAGTAATGTTAAGATACCCCTTACGGTCATGATAATATGATAAATCTTTCTGAACCCCAAAGAGAACGTGGCTGCACTGCATTTGACTATATATTGGTTTGGTTCTCAATAATCAATTGTCAATTTTTTTCTCCTGCCGTATCAACTAAAAATTGACAGTACTACTCTGTAATTAATTTGATAACTACAAATTAATTTAATTATCCAAGACAGGTTTACCTAACCCTATCAGACAAATCAATTCACAAAGACTAATGATATTCACGCCAGTCTATACCTAGAACTGTATTTTCTTCATAGATGTCAATTTTAGAATGCCCAAATCCACAGACTCAACAAGCAGAGTGCTACATTTGTCCTGCCTACTAAGTAAATAGAAACAAAAGAATTCTAACAGTTATTAAGATTGCTAGCTAGATACTTAAACACTACTGAGAGTTGTTTTGGTGGTTTTTTTTTTTTTTTTTTACTGCACGTGCCTATTAACTCAGATAATGCGATGGAAATCACCAGTAAGAGTCATCTGTTCTGTAGCTCAAAGCCAGAAAGGACATATTCTTAGACTCACACGTTGTTGTCCCCCTGGCTCCTGGTATGGTACGTTCGCCTTCCTGCTGTCTTCCCATTCCTTAACTCCACAGCAGGCAGCTCTTTGAAATAACAGCAAAACTGCTCAATGTTACTATTTTAAAAGGAAGGGAAAAAAATGATTAATTTTTAAATGTACTAAGAAGTAAAGAAAGCACTATGAGACCTATACAGTATATGGATTTTGAAAATGTGATATTTCAATTTCTCAATAAAATGATACTCAATGCAATCTCTTAACATTGCATTTCTTCATTAAGCTTCCTCATTTACTCCAAGAAAACAATATAAGGGGGACTTCCCTGGTGGCACAGTGAGTAAGACTCTGCACTCCCAATGCAGGGGGCCTGGGTTCAATCCCTGGTCAGGGAACTAGATCCCACATGCAAGCTGCAACTAAGAGTTTGCATGCCACAACTTAGGAGCTCTGGAGCCACAACTAAGGAGCCCACCTGCCACAACTAAGACATAGCGCAACCAAATAATAAATAAATAAATATTTTTAAAAAAGGGAATATAAGTAGATGACTTTGCAAAAATAAACAAAGACCTTAAAGCAAAATCTCTGTTCCAGAAATCCTCAATTCCCCCTTCCCATCTATAGCCTGTCACCATTTCTTTCTTTTCAGGGTCTTTGTTCCCAAGTGTTCAATAATTTCCTCAAATAAAAGCCATGAAACCAACCATATTGTTTAAATACACTATACAGAGTAACAAGGAGAATTCAGTAGTGACTAGAATTTCTTCTTTGAGCAAGACTAGATAAGCTGAGAGCCAGTAGCTTTAAGAAGAGATCACACATGGCTTCTGTTCCTTATTAGCAAGGTGGCCTTGGGAAAATAATTTACTGTGGTCTTTGATACCGCATTAAAATCTAAAAGTATGCAACTTTCTAAATAATTTCTTCTGTATAACTCAGGTCAGCCTTGTTGTCTATTTTGTTTTTCCTGCTCATCTTACTCTTTTTTTTTTTTTTTTTTTTTTTTTTGGCCACGCAGCATGTGGGATCTTAGTTCCCTGACCAGGAATCAAACCCGGGCCCCCTGCAGTGGAAGCACAGAGTCAACCGCTGTACCGCCAGGGAAGTCCCTGCTCACCTTACATTTTGAAGATCTTCTAAACACCTGATCTTATGACCATACTTAAGACTCAACTAATGATTGAACTAAGTTATCTGAACAAGGTTCCTTATAGCCCAGGGGTCTGCAAACTATGGCCCACAGGACAAATCTGACCCTGGGCCAGTGAGCTTTTACATTTTTTAAGTGAGTTTTATATTTTTAAAGAGTTGTTTAAAAGGGAGAGGGGTGTTGAAGTGAGGAGAAGATGCGTGAGAAAGCCTGGATGTGGCGCACATGCAAAGATTAAAAATATTTATTTAATCTGGTCTTTTACAGAAGTTTGCTGGCCTGTGCTCCAGCCTATTCAAGAAGGAACAGGAACTAAAATGATAACAGCTAACAGTTATTTACTGCTAGGCACTGTTCTAAGCACTTTATGTAAGTTATATAGTATCTTCCCGACTACCCCGTGAGGCAGACTATTATCCCCAATTTCACTGATGAGAAAACTAACGCACAGGGAACTGAGGTAACTTGCCCCAAGTTACTAGGCTAGAGTTAGTGGCAGAGACAGGATCTGAACCCAGAGCCTTTGCTCTTAACCATTCCACCAGAAACTAACATCAGATACTTAAGCTCTGACTGTAACAGTACCTGAGTGACTGAAGGATGGCGTTCATGAAACACGTGTTCCCCAAATTCCGAAGGCCTGTGGCACAAATGGCAGTGGTGCTTCCCTGTAAAATGGAACAAGAGGTGGCCTTCAGTAATACCAAGAGAAGGCCAACTGTTTCAACATCAAAGAAGAACAAAGGCCTATATTTGAAACTCTAGCAACAAGCCAGTTCGGAATTGATACTTTTCAGTCCAACAGATATTTCAAATTCTCTTTCTACTCTCTGTAAACGTGTCTGGATATTTTTAGAAGGCTGTTTCTGATCCTAGGATTGTTCTAAATGGAAGCTTATGAGGAAGTCACCATTAATAAGTACTGGGGAGTACACAATGCAAAAACCAGGAAGATCTTTAAAAGAAATAAGTTTAAGACTTAACGCCGTCATGAGACTCTATTAAAGCTACTACAAATTGGAAAAAATATAAACATGCCAAGTATTTCTGTCCCCCAGCTTTTAACTCTAAGCCATGCAAATGACCAATACATGTTTTCCTAGCAATGGAATATCAATCTGAAAAAACTACCTGAACTTCCCTTAAAGACTAAGGCTTTGTTTTTTGATTAGCTGTACAAATGCACTGTGATGTCTGAGTACTACACATGCTTAGTGAATCTACCCATCCAACCCAAAGCATCACTTTAACTCTTTCTTCCACAAAATTGTAATACTTAATTGTGTGTCTAAACACAGCTAGCATGACAGCAGAGAGGTAGATGCAGGACAAAATTACTGGTATATTTTACAATATTCAGTCATCTTTAAACTTTTGTCACTCCATTAATGGCCATACATTTGGTAAGAGATGGGTATCAGAATGAGGAAGCATATTCTTTTATGGTGAAATTGTATTAATGAAGTCCTAAGGAAAAAACTTACCAAAACTTCAGACCCAAAGCATTTTTTTTTTTTTTAAGAGTTTTATTTATTTATTTTTTGGCTGTGTTGGGTCTTTGTTGCTACGTGCGGGCCTTCCCTAGTTGAGGTGCACGGGCTTCTCATCGCAGTGGCTTCTCTTGTTGCAGAGCACGGGCTCTAGGCGCACGGGCTTCAGTAGTTGTGGCACACAGGCTCAGTAGTTGTGGCTCACGGGCTCTAGAGCACAGGCTCGTAGTTGTGGCGCACGGGCTTAGTTGCTCCGCCGCATGTGGGATCTTCCCGGACCAGGGCTCGAACCCGTGCCCCCTGAATTGGCAGGGGGATTCTTAACCACTGTGCCACCAGGGAAGCCCCAGACCCATAGAATTTGCACTAGGGACCTTTAACAGAAGGAAGCAAGGATCTTTGGGATCCTATAGAGATGGAGTAATAAGGTACATGAGTAGGCGTTAAGAACAAATGCCTCCTAAGGCAGAGGAGAACGGTGGTCATCCTGACGGAAGGAAGGCACTGACAGACAGACTCGCCGGGGTATTTAGTCACGTCAAGAATCATTAGTACAAGTGGCAAACATTTTGTAAAATATTCCAAATCCAAGGCATACATTTATAGAAGTTTATAAAGAGCAACATTAATGTTAGAACTGTAATCAAACAGTGACTAGATCTCAACCAATTCTTATATTTGAATACATTTTAATTACTTACATTTACTTTTAGTAACTTGCTGTTCAGTGATGAGTTTTCCAAAAGTTTTCTTTTCCTATGCCTGTCAGCTGTGAAAGCTGAGCTATTAAAGCACAAACAGACAGTCAAAAAGACGTTCATACATACACAACACTACACAGCAAGATAGAGTAAACATGGCTGTTCTAAGTATCTAGGGTATGGAGCCCTGCCTGGCTGCTTAGCCAGGCCAGGAACTGACCCATTAGGCCACTGTGGCCCACAAGTATTTCAAGTAACTGAGGAGTTCCACTTCCCTTGGAAATCCCCACTGCTCCTCCAGCAGGGTGGGACTGGAAGCTGCCACCCCCGGGCGCTTCCCAGAAACGCTGGCCGAGTGGATGTGGTCTGATGGACAGTCCCTCTCCTCCACCGCTCTATCTACCTAATCAATGGTGAAGCTTCCAACAAGAGAACACCCACTATTCATAAAAAAGAAAAACACTGGTCTGACATGGTTATTCTGAGATTTAACATTAAGTCTCAAATACTATGCCACTTCTTTCTTAATTTTGATAAAGGTATCGTGTCTTGTTAGTATGTTGTAATAGATGATGATATAATCTGAGTTTGCAGAATGATAAATAAATTACAGACGCATAGGCGTATGTCAATTCATTTGATTCAGCTATGCTACAAAGCATATTCTAAAACAAATCCTAATTAGCACATAAATTCTGAATTTAAATTATCTAAATGTTTCTCATTGAAAGAGAGATTAAGTTTGAAATTTATTAGAAAATAATTCCTATCTTCAAAGGGTCACTTTAAAATTATTATGTATCAGGGGAACTAATCTAAAGGAAGTGAAAGTTACTATTAAACAACATAGACTTTTTAAGTCTACCAAGTCTTTCCTATCTTCCAAAAGTTCCAGTCTAATCCAAAGAAAATACATAATTATTTTTCTTTCCAGAATTTCCACATGAACTGTCTTCAGAGCATCAGATCTAGTGACAGTCAGCTGTTTCAAATCTAAAAATATTCTTAGGAAAAATGTCTTCAGGAATGTATGTCCCTCTCAGTGTACTGGTGACTACAAGGTAAGAAGAGATAATCCCATATGTACTACGATGTTAAGTTATTCCTTCACAAATTCTGTAGGTAGAGAAGTTCAGTCACAAGCACAGTGTATGTACTGTGACAATGCCTAATAGTTAACTTTTAGTTTTAACCTATACAAAAAAAGCATTTAGCTTTTTAAAAATATGTTATTAAATTTTACCATCAATGATTCTCAAAATGGCAGAATCCTTTAGATCCACGCTATTTAATATGGTAGCTGCTCACAACATGTGGCTAATAAATTTAAATTAATTAAACTTAAAAATGTAAAATTCAGTTCCTCGTCACACTAGCTAATTTTCAAGTGCTCAACAGTCACATGTGTCTAGTGGCTACCATACGGGACAGTGTAGATTAATACAACGTTTCTGGTGCGCAGTGCTTCTCCAGAGGATACGCTAAACAGTCTAAAGTAAAACTCAAATGTAATCACAGTTCTTTCATTGTAGCTTCCATTACAGATTAAAGGCTACGTTTGAAAAAATAAAAATAAATTTAGGTAATGTTTATCGACATAGAAAAAGGACTTCAAAGGAGCTTTTTCAGTGGGACCAACGAGAATGGTGGACAAGGCAGTCTGTGACACCTTTTTTTACCTGATGAAGAAATAAGTGGAAGTAAAAGATTCCATATCTGCATAAACGCATGCAGGTTCTTGAACTTCCGGTTTTCCCTTTGACTTAGTTCTGATGAATTTATTTGTCATTGAGATGATAGTCTTTTCTTAGAGAAAACTATAAGTGGCAGGAAGAAATAATATGGTAGCTACCTACTTCTATAACAAAGAATCAAGTTAGTTAAGATCTTTACAATGACATCACCACATCAAAAAGTGATATTTACATAAATTACTGCGGGAATCTCCTACTTCACGGTCAATTGTGATTATTTCAGACCAAATTCAATATTCTAGATCTGTGTGTCTATGCCTGTGTCTCTAACCCTAGATATGCTCCTGCTGCTTCGTTCAAATTAAGAGGAGGCGCTTTGAAAAAGTGAGGAGCCCCAAGATGACAAGCCAAAGTGCACTTAAACCCAGACTGTTCTAATTAGCTTCGATTTCAAAGAAATCAATTCTTCCCTTATCAGCTTATAGTCTATTTAGACAGAGACATGCACAGACACTTTGGTTAACCAAAGCTAGACAGTGTTTCACTCAAAGAACTTAGGTTATTCCCTCTCAGCACTCAATTTTAAAATACTCTGTTGGCTTCACATGTAAGTTTGCTAAAGGACTCCCACTTGTGGCATGTTCTCACAATACCATTTATACATCGACTGTCAAAATAAATAAGATGTTGTAAAGCAATTTTACTCCAATAAAGATTTTTTAAAAAACAACAAAAAATAAATAAATTAGATGGCACCTGACGATTAGGGGTGATTTACACAAATTTCACCTGAGTCAGCGACCATTCCAGGGCCATGCTTCTATCCACTGCAGCTTCAAAGACACTGCTACTGGGGTTTCTGTTTACTGCTTGAATTTTGGGTCTAGTGAGTTTTATCTGACTAACCTATTTGGCTATAGCAAAAAAATACCTCTATTCGCTTAAGCAGTTTAATTTATGGTGACAAAGCATTTCACAGCTTCCTCTACTTTCAAGTGATAAATACTGCCCCTAACAAAAAAAGGAAAAGAAGAAACTAGGATCTTGTGCTATCACATAGATGCACGCTGGACAATAATATAATTAAACCTATTTTCCCTTGATACATAAATTTCAGAGTTTCTAAGAAGACCTCATAATACATTTGGATAAGGATTTTCTAATATCAAAGGTAACTCTATAATGATTTTGTATCATTTTTTGCCCTTCCCTTACACTACCAAAATTCCCCTTGCAAATAAACTGAGGAGCTTAGAAGTTGGTGGATAATAACTAAAAAACAGGCTCTGGAGCCCTTGCATATGGTTTATGACAAATATTAAACAAAATAAATGCTATGATCACTGACTATGGGCATTTTCAGATACCCAACTCCAAAGTTTATTTTGTTCACATTTCAATCACACTAAAAACGTGATAAAGTTATGGAGCTCATAAATAAAAATCCCACTCAGAAATGCTGAAAGACCCCTCAACCCCACTCCATCCCTTCTTTCCCAAGGCCTATTACTTACTTTTCCAAGTTCTGTAAGTGTTCTCTGACTTTCTGTACCAGTCCCAGCTTGGTGTCATTAATCACAAAATCATCACAGCGATAACTGCAAGGAAAATATTAATCAATGTGTGTAAAGAGCTTGAGGAAACCACAGTAATGAAATCACTAAAAGGCCTGGCTACTGCCAAGATGACCACATGGCTCTGCAGGCAGTTACTGTCAGTGGTGAGTTTAAAGAGGACTTGGAATCCACAATGGAATGCTTTTTAAGAGTCCTTTTAAAAGGCCACGTAGGCAATAAACACCAGTTTCTTTACACATTTTTATTCAAAAGCTCTTCAATTCCTCTTTCAAAAATGAAATACGCTACTACACGTGTTATATTCTTTTCAGTGGTACATAATACGTGGAAAATGAAATACAAAGCACCAATTCTGTTCATGTAGCACGAAGCCTAAATCTTTAATGTGATCCTTCCCAACTCAAATTAATGGGGAGTTTGCAGGGAGGAGAGATTTAAGAGAAAAGCAGGAAAAAAGTAATTAACCTGTAGGGATATTTGAATAAAAAAACTAAAAGCCATATATTTCACACATAATTTAATTTAAAAACTGAATTCAGATGGTTGAGAAGAATAAATCTTTTCATTCCAAGGTGTTAGAAAACAAAAACAGTGGCTACATCTTTCAGGAAACCGATAACCGCTTTGAAGAAAGACATTTAAGATGTTCCTTAAAACTGATATTATGTGTGTGTGTGTGTGTTTTAGCAAGTCAATAAGCAAATAATATAAGGAATCACACATAATAAACTTTAACTTGTACATCAGCATTCAATTTTCTTCCTAGAATAAGGCCAATTTTAATAAAAACAACTTACAAGTAGTACCAAAATATTCTTTTGAACTGCAGCTTTGTATAAAACCACTTATTATAACTACCAAAGAATAATGACAGTAACATTGCCATTCTGAGCAAATAAAAACTTTGAATGCATAGCAATTAGTAAAAATTAGGTCATCTCTAGCAGAATCCAAAAAACATTTCTTACATACCTGAAACCAGTCTATAAAAAAATTGTGAATAGGATGGGGGAAAAGTAATTTTTTTAAAAAAAGATTACACACAAAAGCATGGCTTGTGTCTCTTATTCACAGAATTCAAAATGTGAGTGCTTTTGAAAACTTTAAGTAAAATATATATGTAATTATTTAACACGCCCCTCCGCATTAATTGACTGCCTGTGTTGTCAATCAAGAGTCTCTAACGTATTCTCCGAGCTCCCGTGGTCAATCTCTAACGTTTCTACAAATAGCAAAAGCTACCTTTTACATCCTAGACTGTTTCTCTATGATCAAAGTACCAGCAATGGCAGGAAAATAATTCCTTATCAGTTTTATGACAAAGACATAAAGGAATTAAATTAGTGAAAAGGTTTAATTCCTTGCTTCCTCTCAGCATAAATGTTAAGAGGGTAAGGTCTACTCTGCAAATCTGGGTTTAAGGCACCTGGTTCCTCCATGAACCTCAGGCATTCACTAAAGAATGAAAGTGTATTGTTACTCTAATTCCTGCTTACAGTTTCATTCTATGTTTACATAAATATATGCATGTATTTTGGTTAAAGGAATACCCAGTGTTCAAAACAAAAATAACTCCAAATGCTCGTGTTCATCTGGGGAATGAAGTCTAGAAGCAAATTCAGATCATCTTTCATGTATTTACATGCTGCTAGAATATCTCATCGAAAAGTAAACCCCTTAGCTTCTACAAAAAAGAAAAAAAAAAAGTTGCTTTGTTTAAAGAAACAAATTGTTTCAGATTATATGAAATAACTGATTTTTTTCTTATTAAAGTAATTCTTTTTGGTGTGACACGAATTCAGCCTTTAACATTTGTTAAAGGAACGTTTTCATATATTGAAATACAGATTCATTAACGGCCTTGCTCCATTCTGAACTAATCTGACTTAACTGGGTCTAGTTGCTTCATCTCTTTGAATGTTCATTATTAAAGTGAATAAGTTTCTCTAGACTCCAGAGCTGTCCTAATGTGACTAATGCAACTGAGGAAATGCATTTTAATCTTTTAAAATTTTAATTGATATAAAATTTTATTTAACTAAAGCAGTATAAAATATATTTCCATTAAATACTTTACAGTTTTGGTAACACTATATTTCACTTTTATTATGACATCATATAAGATGTACTGCAGTGCACAGTGTGGGTGCACATGTACATTTCTAGGATCACACATAAGCATATCGCCAGTCTAGTTTATGTCAACAGAAGGTTTCAGTTATTTTTCTATGCACTAATGAAGCGCTCTAATGTGCTTATTTGAATATTTTCTGCAGACAGCAGGAGTTACAGTGATACCTATGTAAACAGTAATTGGTAGTTAAACTGAAATGCTTATTTTAATAATTAATATAAATAAATTATTTTTCTGGGTTAAAAACTAACAATGAAAAAAAATTTTAACTTCCAAATGAAGTTTGGAACTTTTAAAAAAAGATCACACACAAATGTGTAATTGACAACATAGGCACACTAATGAGGCAGAATCGAGTGGAAAAGGTGTATCACAAATTTTACAAATAATGGCAATTACGATTTAATACAGCAGAGCCAAATTAATAAGCTGTGTAAAAAAAGTTTTAAGATAATAAAGTAGGCAATGTTGAGTCATTTTCAGCAAATGCATAAAAATATAAGTTGCTTCTCTACAGTCAAAAAATAATCAATGAAATTTGTCACAATCAGTGAAATCAGAATGAAATGTATAACAAAGAAGTTTCTTAGTGATTTTAAGGATTTGAGCTTGTAATTCTGGCAAGCTTTAAAATAGCTTGAATTCTTGCTCAAGAAAGAAAACCATTTTTAGATGGAGAGATGAAACATTAAATTACTTCAGTTAAGGGAAATTATTATTTCAGTTAAGGGAGTTATGTTTTAGAATTTGAGATAAAGATCAAAAAGGATATTTTACAAAAAGTGAAAGATCTTCAGTTGACCCACCAAGCAATTGTTAGTGAATAAAAGACCTTTCTAACATTATTAAAGATCATTTCATTCAACATTTGAAAATTCTAAGTACTTTTACTTTTCACTTTAGATGAGTTTTACAAGACAAGAGACAATGGCCAGTTAATACTTTGGGTACGTTTTGTTTCAAATGACTTCCAAATTGAAATGTCTTCATCTATTTGCAAGCTTAAAGACAATCAACCGCATGTTGTAAATATTTTTTAATCTTTTACATCTGTCACTTTCAGCTAGACAGGAAAACGTTTCTATCAAGACAGACAAGGACCTGCTACGTGCGATCAGAAACCCGGATTTAATGGAATTATTTCCCTTATTTGATCCACTGCATATTAACATATGGAAAATATCTGTGCTCTAAAGTAGACTGTATCATGGATGCAGTTATTAAAATTGTTCAGTATACATGTGCAAATGCTCTGACTCATCACCAGTTTATGGAACTGTTAAAAGAAATGGAAGATAATGAATATAATGGCTACATGTTCTTTGCCAATGTTCACTGCTTGAGTCATGGAAGAATTTTACAAAGGTTTACTGTACTGTTAACTCTAATTCAAAATTTTCTTGAAACAAAAGGAACACCTGCCAATATTGAACAAAGAGAAAACATCACAGCATGATTTACATTTTTTCACCTATATCACAGTGCACATGAATGAGCTAAATTTAAAGATCCAAGGAGAGAATAAAAGCTTGTTTGTGACCTAGCTAGACAGGTATGAGAATTTATGTTAAAATTTAAACTATTCGTAATACAAATCAATAATGACTTTACACATTTCAACGTGAATATACAGAAGATTTTAAATACAGTGGCATTATGTAAGTTGTCTGCAAAATCTACAAGAAAAATTGAAGAATGCTTTGTTGATATGGACAAATGTGGAGTTGATTTTCAGTTTATATAATGGTCCTTTGAATTTGATGTTGATAATACTGAGTGGTTACAAGAGTTAGTGGATTTACTTAAGTTAGATACAGTTTTGAGACTGATATGCTTTTGCTTTGGGCTCAATTATTCTAAAAAAGATGAGTCAGTCTTGTCAAAACAGATGCCAAGTATTAAAGAAAATGGGTTTTTTGGTACTTTATTCATTTATTGGAAAAATTTTAATAGTGTTTTGAATCTACATTTTTAACTGCAATTTTTATGACTAAATACAGATCAAGCATTTCTGATGAAAAGTTAGCATCTGAACGGAGATGTGCTGTACATGTAAAATACATACTGGATTTTGAAGGTTTCATATTAAAAAAAGATGCACACTATGTCTAATAATTCTATATGGATTACCATGTTGACATGATAATATTTTGGATAACGGGGTTAAATAAAATATACAGTTAAAATTAATCAACCTGTTTGTCTTTGCTTTTTTAATGTGGCTACTAGAAAATTTTAAATTACATATGTGACGAATTATTTCTCTTGCACAGCACTGCTAGCCTAGAAAATATCTAAGATACTAACTGTTCTACTGTAATACTACCCAATATTATAAAGAGGTAATAAATATAACTTTAATTAACAATAAGAAATCAATTTTATTTTGGCTGAATTTGTTCTCACTGGCTTAAAAATTTTTAAGTTTTCACAATTGTCCTTATTGCCAAGAGTCAATTTTAGATCTTCTTACAGTCACTATGAAGGACATTTACTTCCAAGATTCTAACTTTTGTCCTGTCTGAATTCACCACACTACACAAGCGTTATTAGATGACGATGATAAAAGGAAAGCAGCTGCTTCCACAGGTCAAAACGTCCAGGGGCGCTTGGCACGTGGTAGAGGGTCAATAAATGTCAGCTTCCTTTTGCTGTGTAACCAGGGCTGCCTCACAGCACACCCGTCTCTAGCTGCCCCCATCCCCTGTCCTGATTTCTTCTTCCTCTCTGGCCCAGAGGTGAAAAGAAAATAAGTAACAAAAGTAGGAAGTAGTTCGGGCTTCCCTGGTGGCGCAGCGGTTGAGAGTCCGCCTGCCGATGCAGGGGACGCGGGTTCGTGCCCCGGTCCGGGAAGATCCCACATGCCGCCGAGCGGCTGGGCCCGTGA